ATGCATATTGAGGCCATACTCTTAAGTGAAATAAATAGGACACACATGTGTAAATACCAAATAGTTTCACTAGTGTGAGAAACTGATACTGTAAACAAGGGTTAAAACGATTAAAATGAATAATTGATGATTTGAAATAGGAAAAAAGGTCCAAAGATGAAGGAGTGAAGGGAGGGGAAGGGAAAAGGAAAAGAAGGAAGGAAAAACTATGAGAAAAGAAAAAAAAATGGAAATGAAATCCATGTAAATAGGGAAGGGCAGAGGGGGTAAAGGGCACACAGGTAATGGGACAAAAAATAAGAACCAAGATACATCATGTACAGGTACAAACACCCAATGATAATTGTAAATGAATTGTATACCTAAAATGTACCAATAAAAGAACTAAAAAGACAAATTGCGAGCAGGGCCAGGGATTTAGCTCAGTGGTTCCGCCGCCTGCCTCCGAAGCACAAGAGTTCGATCCCCAGTATAAAAAATATATATATGTATATTGCAAGCACATACGCAGAAAAGATTTGGGGGGATCAGGAAAACTGATGCTTTAGCTGAAGGGAGTCAACATTAATTGAAAGACCAATTGTTCACAGAACAAAAAGAGCAGCAAGTTTTTATTGGTTTGCTATAAATTTCCACTGACCAGGGACACAGTTTCAAAAGATGTTTCTTCTTGTGACCAGCAAGTGGTCGACTTATCCTAAATGTTGTTGAATTTTTGTGAAGTGGGCAACATCATGGTGTGCAAAATATCCAGCCTTCTGGGTCTGCGCCCTATAGGACTGAAAGACTTTAGGTACTTGGGCCACTGTGGCTGCTGAAGGAACACATAGGCAAGGAACAGAAAAAGAAGGAAGAGAGAGAGAGAAAGAAAACACAGGGCCAGGGATTTAGCTCAGTGGTTCTGCTGCCTGCCTTGCAAGAGCAAGGTCCCAAGTTCAATCCCTGGTACAGGAAAGAAAGAAAGAAAGAAAGAAAGAAAGAAAGAAAGAAAGAAAGAAAGAAAGAAAGAAAGAAAGAAAGGAAGGAAGGAAGGAAGGAAGGAAGGAAGGAAGGAAGGAAGGAAGGAAGAAAGGAAAGAAAAGAAAAGACATACCAACTCCAATGGGAAATCATCATGTCTACATGCCGAACTGATTGAAATCAGACATTAAGGTTAAGGCAGCAAAGCAGATAGACATAACATGATGACAGAGATTTCTATACCTTTTTAACAAATCCAAGCACCCATCAAATGGCAGGCCCTAGTGAAGAGTCAGGGTTTTCAGCAAAAACAGCCTTCAGACCCCTGAGGTGTATCCAAGGCAACAGTTCTCATAACTCATACCTCAGAGTTGTTATCTATTCCAAAGCTAGTGGGAAACAAATAATGCATGTCTTGGTTACTTTCTCATCACTGGGACACAATACCTGATACCAACAAATTAAAGGAAAAGAGATTTATTATAGTCCATGGTCAGCTGGCTCCAAGGCAGGCCGGCATGGCAAAGGGAATAGCAAAGGAGAAGCTGCTCACATCATGGCACCTAGGAAGCAGAGAGAGAAGACAGGATACAGGGAGATATGCCCTTCCAGGTCACACCTGCAGTGACCTGCATCTTCTGACCCACTTCCTAACAGCGAGTCACCGACCACGTCCAATCACCTTCCAAAAGCCCCACCTCTGCGCATACAAGGCTTTGGGAGGGACCTCCCGCTATGTGACCTCCAAAATCAGTAATCTTAAAGTCAACTAAGGTCAAGTGAAGCTAAAGGTTTATGCTTTTCCTCAGTAACAATAACATTCTGTTTCTGTGGTTTTATCAGAGTCTCATGACAGATCTGTGGAAAAGAGCACAAATGTGGAGAGACAGCCTGTCAGGCTGCAAAGGGTAAAAGGTCACTGTGCCCAGTGTTTTATTTTGTTGCCCCAGCCTTTGTCCCACCGTGGTGGTTTCCAACTGTCTCACTAAAGCCCTCTAGGCTCCACAACAAACTCCCTTGGCTCCCTGTCACCTTCTCTCCTCTTACTCCCTGACCTCTGAGTCCTGTCCTTTCCCCTCCTGTTTCACAACCCAAGGAACCTGTCCAGAGTGACTTTGCAAACTCCCCATCTGTTAGACCTTCTGGTCCTGAGTCCCTAAGTCCCTCCTCCTCACCTCTACTGTCCCCTCCTGCCTACAACCCCACCCATAAAAGCTCTCTTCAACTAAGGGTATATCTCATCCTACTTCAGTCTTGCCAATCATCTTACAGCAGTAGATGATATGGGCCAAGTAGCAAGGCTCCCAGGCTCCACAGAGCCAAGTGCCTCTTCTCTGGAGGTTTCCTGCTGGCCACTGAGAAAGATGAGCCATCTGGCCAACAGATCCCTCTGTACTAACAAGCTGGACATAAGGCCAGCCATAGTAGTGACAATTCTGAGTAATGGCCCCTTGGCACCTGCCCTGCTCTGCACATTCACTGAGCTGCTGGTGTCACCCTCTCCCCATGCGTCACATGGATAAATTAGCTAAGGTTCCAAAAGTGAAGGGCTTTGACTACACACTCTTGGTGACAAAGCCAGAACAAGAACTTAAGCCTCCAGACTTGCCTTTTCCTACCAACCTGCTCTAACTCCTCTATTCAGAGGCTAGGAATGCTGCAATGCTATCGAGTTGCACTGTGCTCCAGACTTCAATTTGAATTGTTTCATTTAATGCTTTTATAGTAGCTCTCTTTAGAAATGGCGCCCCAACAATTCCTCCCCTCTGAGCACCTGCTGCTCTTCATAGCAAAGAAAGAGCCATTTCCCCTCCTCCTGGATCTGAGTTGGTCCTGGGGGTGTTCTGACAAGCTGAATAGAATGTGGGTGAAGGAACATTCTAGGGTTTCTGTACCCAGGCCTTGAAAGGACTGTCAGCATATGGGGGAGAACAGGGGCTGCTAGCCATCACCGTAGCTGAGCTCTCATCTAGTGGCCAGCATCAAATGCCAGCTGTATGAGTGAAGCCAATGGCAGGGCCGGTGGCGAGGGAGGGGGATGCTGGGGATCAAACTCGGGTCCTTGCGCTTTTGAGGCAGGTAGCAGAACCACTGAGCTAAATCCCCAGCCCAAATGAAGCCATTTTTGACCTTCTAGCCCTCCTAGAGCCCCAGCCAATAAGAAACAGTTAAAAAATAAAGAAATCGAGCCGGGGATTTAGCTCAGTGGTACCACCACCTGCCTCGCAAGCATGAGGTCCTGAGTTCGATCCCCAGTACCAAAAAAAAAAATCACTCATAAATCCACACAATCTTGAAATTTTTATTATCTTAAGCCATTATATTTGGGGATATTTTGTTATATCACAATAGCTAAGTAGAAGAAATGTTGGAACCTGGTAGTGGTGTGCTGCTGTAACAAAACCTAAAGCTGTGACATTGCTTTGGGACCAGGCATCAAGCTGAGCCTGCATGTCCTCGGGAAGGCAATTAGTGAAGGCTGTACAATGAGGAAAGCACCATTAGACCCCGGAGAAAAGGTGTAGGTACTGCTCCTCATGTCTACAGCCCCTATATAGTACTTATTTATTTATTGTTGTTTGTTTGTAGCATTGAGAATTGAACCCAGGGCCTTTCATATGCTACACAAGTGCTCTACCACTGAGTGATATCCCTAGCCACAGCCCCTTTATTCTTTAGAGTTTTGCTCTTTATATTAGCTTTCTCTGTTCATCTTCTCTTGAGATACTGACAAGCATGTCCTGGACAACAGCCCAACCTAAGCCCCCAGCTAGTGGCCAGCACCCAATCTCACCCCATGAGTAAGGCCACTTTCAGCCATCTTCCAGCCATCTTCACACCCCAAACATCATGCAAAGGAGAGGAACTGCCTAGACAGCCCACAGAATCATCAGAAGTGATCAATACTGTTCCAAGCCTCTCCTTCTGGAGCGATTTGTTGTGTAGGATGGAGGGTCTCAGGGGAGTTACTTCCAGGTTCTTCACATTCCAAACAGAATTCGAGGAGGATACTCAAAAGGGATAACAAGAATAAGATTTTTTAAAAACAAAAGAAACAAAGGTACACATGCCAGTGAAATGAGGTTGGAGCTCCAGTAGAGGCAGATATTGGGTCTTTTAAAGTCCTAGGGTTATGAGAGAATCTATAGCTAAGAACTGGCAGGAATCATGGCCCTACCTTCTAACCTATGAAGAAGATAAAGCCCAGCGAGGATGAGTAACTGCACACAATGACAGAACTGCCAAGTGGCTGCACCAATGTTCAAACTAAGTCAGTATGAACTAACACAAACACTCAGGGAGCCAGATGGAGTATCATCTAACCTGTCTCCCACTCCAGCCAAGAAAACAGGAGCTCGGAGGGTCAATCACCCATGTAAGAGGGGCAGTCAGGATGCTGAATTAGCAGCCCAGTTCTCCTGCTTCTCAGCTGGCACTGTCCCTTCCCCACAGAGCTGCTGTCTCCACCTTTTCTTCTATTTCTGCTCCCACACAATGCCTCAAGTGGCCCCTCTACTGCAGGAATGCCCTTGGGGGTGGAGGGGCAATATCCCCAGGGGACATCTAGCCACATCTAGAGACATCACAGTCAGGGGCAATGAGTGCTGCCAGCATCTAATGGCTAGACGACAGCAATACCAGAAAATGCACGGGGCAGCTCCAGAAGAGTTACCCAGCCCGCAATACCCATAGTGCTGCCACTCAGACTTCCTGGTCAGAGAAACATAGGATCCACAAGAGTCCCTGCCCAAGAATTGGCCATCATTTTCCACAAGGGCTAGGTGGCTCCAGGCCATCTGGGCAGCACTTGGCAGGCATTCTCACCTACTAAAAATGCCTAGGGGGTGGCCAGGTCCCATGGAGCCCTCTGGCAGGTGCACCTATTGCAGCAGGGCCAGGGCATTTTCCAGACTCTGAGGAGGCAGGTTTGATTTGCTGCAATGAGTTTATTGGAAACATGGAGAGAGACAAAGACAAATAGGCAGGCAGCTGAATCATTGGCTTTTTAGAAGCTTCTGTAGGCACCCCTGGAAGGAAGGTGCTCTCCTTTCCTGGGGCAGATCCCTCCCACAGTTATAGGAAACCAGCAACAGTGCGGGCTCCCCTTCTCTGTTCCCAGGCAGAAGTACATGGGCAGACTCCCTGAAGTGCTGACAGGCAGATGTTGGGACCTGCCCTGTGCCTTCAAGTTCGGGGAGAAATGGTCAGACAGGACTAATGAATCCAGCAAAAAACAGGCAGCAGAAGAAAAGGATGACTCCTCAAAAGAACAAACTATTAGGAAAGGTCAAGGAAAGAGACCCAGATAGGCCCCTGCCCATGCTTGACAACTAGAGGCAAGCGGGCAGGAATAGCTTGCAGTATGCACATCGTGGGGCTGACTTGGGAAGACAGACAATAGTGGTGTGTTTGGGTGGCTCAAGGTCCTGGCTGCATGGAGGGTGGGAGTGGGGAACCATTGCTTGCAGCAGCTGCAGCCTCCTAGCACTTCTTACAGCTGCTGGTGCAGGCGCTGACCCCGGCGCAGGGGGCACAGGCATTGGGCATGCCTACCACCACATTGCCGCTGCAGGGTGCACTGCAGACTCTGGTGTTGACAGCAGGAGAAGTACCAGAGGCACAAAGATCGCCACAGATGACGCCACCTCGGGAGCTGCTGACGCCTGAATGCGGAAAAAACAGGCAGTGGCCATCAGGCAAGGCCATGGCCAGGCAGTTTTGTAGCAAGCACAAGTGCCCCCTTCCCAAAGGCCCTCAGGCCACCCCCACTGAAGAAGGGGACAGCTGGGACTACTTACACACATTGACAGAGCCAACGCCCTCACACAGCCTGTGGGAGAGGAAAGGGAACAGGTCAGTGCCATGGAAAATTCACAGGGACCAGCAGCCAGGTGCAAGGTAAGATCTGTGTCCTTCCTTTGGGACACTTTCCAAGAGGGAGACACAAGAAACAGCTAAGCCAGGAACAAGGCACTGTAGGGAAGACAATCTGGAGACACTGTCTGAGAATACCCTGCTCTCCCCTGCACCTGGAATCTTAACTGCCCTGGGCCTGGGTTTCCTTACTAGGAAAATCTGCTCCAATATTCAAAGCACTGGGTGACCAGCACACTGAGTACACTTAACACTGTCAGCTGCTATAGCTTCTGCATTGGTCCCAATTGAATTATAAGTGTGTTTGAGGGGAGCAGAGGGAACCTCCTAAATCTACTCTGATTGCTATTCCTGGAGTGTAGGCCTAGAGGAGGACAGAAGTTTTTGTCTGTTGTCCCCACTCCCTAAAGACAACACCTGACTCAATAAATAACTGATGTATGAATGAAGGGGATTTTAGAACCCATTTAATACAGGCTCAGAGGCTACTACAACAATTCTCTCATTTCACAGGTGGAGAAACTGAGGCCCAGAAAGGAAATGACCAATGACAGCAGCAGGACTAGACTTCAGGCCCCCTGACTCCATGCAGCCTGCATTTCCTCCACCACAACATTGTCTCCTCAAGGGAAACAAGCAGAGTTGCCCAAACACACAGTGAGTGGCAGAGTTGGCCAAACAGGCCTCAGACAAAGGAAGACTCCACATCCACCACCAAATAAACCATCTCTTATCCAGGTTTCCTAGGTGACTACACCAAAGCTTCTGCCTTAATCCAAAAGGTTTATGTGGTGGGTAAGTGGGCCACACAATTTCCAGTGCTGTCTCCATGAGTCTCTCCAACTTCCAAACCCAGACTTGATTATAACTACACTAGGGAACTTTTCCCTTATGGAGCCTCCCAAGCCCCATCACCCACTCACTGCCTCTGAGTTTTCCAACACAATTCCTTGAGTTTGTTGGAGGTCTTACCATGTCATCACTTAGAAATCCAGGTACCAAGCCTGTGTTCCCCATTTCCCCAATATACAGGATGCTCCTTCAGCATCCTACCTCTGCCACCTCTCCCAAGGCCTAGGGCCTGGATGACAAGAGAAGGACAGCTCTAGGCATGACCAACTGACCAACTAAATGAAACAAATCCAGCACAAACAATGAGCTCTCATTCTGGAGAGTTGTCTTCAATGGCTGGAGTTACATAGCTGCCCTCCAACCATCAAAAGGCTAAATGACCAGTGTCTTCTTCCCGCATCTCTGAAGCAAACAAAAAAGTAAAAGCCCTGAGTGCGAGGCAGACCTGCTTCAAGGGGCAGGTCTCTGACTCTGTCTACCTCAGTCCCACTGCTGCAATGGACCCACTCTGAGATACCCATTGTAATTACAACAGATGAGTGGGACCAGGTGGAATCTCCTATCTGAGGAACAGATTATGAGATACAACTGAATTCCAGAGCAGGAGATAGGGCTGGACCAGGGTCAGTTGAAGAGAGCTGGAATCCTGAGGAACACAGGGAGCCAGGGCTAGGAGAGAAAATGCACCATGCAAGGAAGGTGACCTCAGGAATTTAAGTAGGTTTTACGAGAACAGAAATCACAAGGCAAGTCACAGCTAGGGCAGGTGACAACTCCACAACAGGGGCTGAGTAAGAATGAGAAATTCAGATGGGGCTAGATCATACTCAAAGGACTTACACAAATTTCCTGTACAGTTGCAGGGTGGTGAGGAATGGAAACAGATGTTGGTGATGTCAGAAGTAGGAGAGAAGACAGGCACTCTGAAAACCCAGGCAGAGCTGGGAGAGTCTAAAAAAACAAAAAGCCCACCTCTGCTCCTCGCCCTCCAGCAGGCGCCTGTAGGTGGCGATCTCGATGTCCAGGCCCAGCTTGGAGTTCATGACCTCCTGGTACTCCTTGAGCAGGCAGGCCATGTCCTGCTTGGCCTTCTGCAGGGCCTCCTCCAGCCCTGCCAGCTTGCAGCGGGCATCGTTG